GCTGGGCGAAGGCCGAGGTCTGCTGGTAGGCCAGGGGCAGGCCGCCCACGAAGGCCAGCGAGAGCGTGTTGAGCAGCCCCATGGACTGCGTGGCCTTGCGCACGTGCAGGAAGAGGGAGTGGTGGGCGAACCAGAGCAGGCCCACGGTGGCGAAGGAGCCGAAGTAGGCCAGGAACTGTGGCCCGTACACGCTCAGCGCGGCCACCAGGCTGCCCTGGAACCTCTCCTCCACGACCTTGGCGTCCGGGACGTTGTCCTCGCTGGGAGGGGAACAGACGGTACCTGAGCAGCCTCGCGCAGGTGTGGGTCAGCGCCCGCCCCAGGCTGCCGTCCATCTTACCCCTATTTACACACGCGCTCGGTACAGCAAGCGGCCACGCGGCCTTCACCTGGGTGCAAGCTGAGTGCAGCCTGCATCCTGTGCTATCGGGCAGCCCTGCCTGGACCCCGGGGCCGAGGCCTCTGGGCTGTCTGTCTACCTTCCTGCAGTGGCCTGTCCACTTGGGGCACAGACCGCAGACGGGATGGTAGGGAGCAACTCGAATTCCCCGAGGCCGTGGGGGCCGCTGCCCTCGATGGCGCAGAGAGCCTGTGGCAGCTCTCGGGCCCCCGCGTGAGGCGCCTGAGACGCGCCCCACAGGGGTGCTGCACATGTCAGCGGGAGGGGAGCTGGGCTCCAGGGTTGAAGGAGGAAGCAGGACACAGAGCCCAGGGGACCCCATGAGGCCCGGAGGACAGAGTGGAAGCAGTAACCTCCCTGCCCCAACCCCAGCCAGTCCACACACCGCTCACGGAGGCCGAGCTAGCCACAGGTCATTTCGGAAGCTCAGGTCTAGGCCTCAGAGATCGGTCCCAGTGGACACTTACTCCCAATTTTAAAAACTTACAAATGACAGTAAAAAAAGTTACCAAGAGAGAATTAGACCTCAGACTGTCAGACACAGAACACGGAATCAGGGTTCCTAGCACGTCAATGAAATAGGATCTACTGAAACTCAACAAGGAACACAGGCTGTAAAACGGAGGAGGCCCTGGCCAGTGTGCTCAGTGGTCAGAGCGTTGCCCCCCACACCAAAGGGTTGCAGGTTCGATCCCCGCCCCTTCCGGGTGTGTGCACAAGGCAACCCATCGATGTGTCTCTCCCCCTCCCTCCCTTCCACTCTCTCTAAACACCAATGGAAAAACACATCCTTGCGTGAGGATTAACAGGAAAAGCAGAGGGAGACTGGCAGGCAGCAGGTAAACCTTGGAAGTAAAAGCAGGACCCCGAGGCGGTCAGGTGGGGCTGCTGGCGGAGACCCCACGCTGGATCCCCGCCCAGGGCGGGTTCCTTCTGGGCGCTGAGGAGGGACAGGGAGCCCCGCCCAGTAGGCCCGGGCGGCCTGAGCAGGACCCTCACCAGATGTCCAGGATGAGGAGCGTGGCCACGATGGCGTAGACCCCGTCGCTGAAGGCCTCCACCCGCTCTTTGCTGAGCGGCTCCTGCAGGTCATAGGTGAAGAACTCCACGCTGGGGGCTGGGGGCTCCCGGGGGCCTGTGGTGTGGCAGGAGGAGGGGCTCACATGCTGTGGACCCGCAGGACATGGCCCCCCTCTTCCCCGAGGGGCCGGGAGCATGCAGGCAGGAGGGGACCC